ATGCTGAATGGTTTTGTATTTAAAAGCAGAAGATAAAAGGAACTCCGTGCAAGGAGATTAGCAAACTTTTAACGCTGAGAGGAAAGACTCTTTCGACATTTTGGAATATTGTTACCTAATCTTCTATAAAATTAACGTCAGAAAAATACCGTATCTGGCGATTAAAATTAATTAAATATCCATTACATTGGAATCTATTGTAAGTCAAATAAGAAATTAAAGAAACGTGTAACTTTTTGTAAGATCGAAAACTTGGATTTGAAACTATAACTTTTAAAAGCAAATTACGTCAAGAATTTAAAACTTTTTAATCTTTTTTAAGAAGATGATTTTTTTAAATAATTAAAATTTAGTTTAATATATATATATATATATATATATATATATATATATATACATATATATATTGCATTTCAGAGTAGTCACAATACATTATATTGCTTCTAGACATGTTTTTTGTTATTAATATCTCGGTCTCCCACGTGGTACGACGTCACAGAACTGCAGCATGAATTTACGACCTGCGTCTGCTATTCCGCGACCGTTATCGTCGCATAGCAATCTTCTATGTCAACATAACAGAATATCATTTTTGAAAGTGAATATCTTTGTTTAAATGTCCTTATAACCACTCTGACGTGAGCCGAAAGTTTAGATCGAGGAACAGCGAGGAAAAAATATCCATGTGTTGGACAATTTTTGTATTTATTTTTACACGAAAGTAAAAGTAACCAAGCGAAATTTAGAACTGCTCATGATCAAACATAATAGACATTCATTGTCTGTTATATTTAACAATATATGTTTGATATATATATATATATATATATATATATATATATATATATATATATATATATATATATATATACTCAGTAAACATATATATCTATTATCTATCTATCTTTCTCTCTCTCTCTCTCTCTCTATATATATATATATATATATATATGTGTGTGTGTGTGTGTGTGTGTGTGTGTGTGTGTCTATAATAAAAGAAAAAACAGTAAGATATATAATCCGGTGTCCTTATTAATATTTTTATTTTTCCGAAACAGTGCTCAATGCAAATTTACAGAGCATAAATATTATAAATTAACTGATTTAAAAATATGGTTCCATCGCTACACAGGAATTACCATGTTTCAAAACCAGAAACTAAAAACTTCAAATTAAATTATATAAATAAATCAAAGGCCCTATTCGCTTGAAAATGAAACAGAACTAGGGCCTTTAATTTAATTATATGATTGAATTTGAAGTTTCGCTTAGGTGAAACATGGGTAGGTTTGTCTGGCTCACTAGGTTTATCTAGGTCTGCTCTACGGTTGTATTGAGCTCTTTTGTTAGTTAGTTGTTACTCGTATCGGTTTTTTGGGGGTGGGGGCTTCAAACTTGCATCTGTGCGATTTTTTCGACAGACTTTCATGTTTGTAGCTCTTTCTTTTTTTAAAACCTTTTTTTCCCTCGAGATTGATTTGATTATTGGCAAATAAAAAATTCGAGGGTTTTTCGAAACGAGTATAGTCATATATATATATATATATATATATATATATATATATATATCATGATATCTGACGTGAAGGCAAAACACAAGGGAAAATAGGATCATGACTTTACATTTGCATTAGTGCGACGATGACGCTTTATGTGTTTGAAAATCATTACGCCCCAATGAAGCGTCGACTAAATAGCGATTTACTAAGCGTAGCTTAGATGTGGCACAAGGCCGAAAAATGGAGTACCCAGTGATGTTCGAATGGACTATTCTGTAGCATTTGAACTATCGCGACGTATTGGTAAGCCATCACACCACGCCGACGTGTTCGCACCTCCTAAATAAAAGTGATGACAACACAATCATCTTTTTTCAAATCCGCATTTTGTTTTCTTGAAACTGAAACCAAGAAAAAGACATATGAACGCCAAACAATTATGATATAAAAATGTTTTATTTAATTCATTTTTGCCGCGGATTCCGTTCTAATTAATTACAATTTCATGTAAATAATTTAATAAACCTTTCTAAGGCGTATAATTAATTTTTAGTTTTACAAAATTATGTCATATATATATATATATATGTGTGTGTGTGTGTGTATCTGTGTGTGTAAATATATATATATATATATATATATATATATATATATATATTATGCAGTGTTACATTAGAACATACACATACACACTACAAAACTGTACATCTTGTTTTAACGTTAAAAAATTATGACATTTAGCTTCCATTTTTGAAACATGGTTAGAACTGTGTAGCGGAAAAACCATATTTTAAATCAATTAATTTATAATATTAATGCTCTGTAAATTTAAATTGAGCACTATTTTGTAAAAATAAAAATATCTATGAGAACACTAGATTATATATCTTAATGTTCTTTCTTTTATATATATATATATATATATATATATATATATATATATATATATAATATTAATGGTAAATATATACATACATATGCAATCATATATCTAAATTATA